CACGCACCTAACAGAGCTTTAAAGTATATAAAGCAAAAACTGACAGAGCTGAAAAGAAAAACAGACAAATTCACAATTATTGCTGGAGGTTTCAACACGCCTCTCTCTCAGTAATTGACAAAGCAAGTAAACAAAAAATCAGCTAGGATATAGAAGATTTGAACAACACTATCATTCAATTTGATTTAATTGACATTTAAAAAACACTCTATTCAACAAGAACAGAATACATATTTTAAGTGCACGAAGAACATTAACCAAAATGGTCTATATATAGATATACTGGGCCACAAAACAAGTCTCAACAAATTTAAAAAGACTGAGATCATACAGAATATAGTCTGTCTCCAACAAAATTAAATTAGAAATAAATAATAGAGAGAGATCAGGAAAATCTTCCAATATTTGGAAATATAAACATCATATTTCTCAGTAACTCATGGGTCAATCAAAAATCACAAAAAAAATTACAAAGTACTTTCAACCGAATGGAAATAAACATACAAAATGTTAATATTTGTGGAATATAGCTCAAATAGTGTTAGAGGGAGGTGTATAGCTTTAAATGCTTACACAGTCATGCATCACTTAACAGGAATACGTTCTGAGAAATGCGTTTAGTCGATTTCGTCGTTGTGCGAACAGCACAGACTGTACTTACACAAACCTAGATGATACAGCCTTCTACACACCTAGGCTCTACGGTCCTAATCTTATAGGACCGCCATCTTATATGCATTCCATCATTGACTGAAATGTCGTTATGTGGTGCATGACATTATTAAAAGAAAAGTTTAAGGTCAATGATCTAATAAGCTTCTAAGGAGGCTAGAATAAGAGAGCAAATTAAACCCAAAGAAAGTTGAAAGAATGGAATAATAAAAGCTGAAACCAATGAAACAGTAAACAAATAGAGAAAATCAACAAAATCAAATGCTTATTGTTTGAAAAAAACAAAAATCAATAAAACGGATAAAGCTCTAGTTTGACTGATAGAAAAAGAAGATACAAATTACCAATACTAGGAGTGAAAGAAAGGACATCATTGCAAAGTCTACAGAAATTAAAAGGATAATACACAAACAGCAAAAACCTTATGCCAATAATTTGACTAGCTGGATGAAACGAATACATTCCTTGAAAAAACAAATTACAAAAACTGATACAAGAAGAAACAAAAAAAGTCTAAATATGTCTATATCCATTAAAGAAATGGAATTCATAACTAAAAGCATCCCCACAAAGATTCTATCCAATATTTAAAGAAGAAATAATACTGATCCTACATATACTCCTTCAGAAAAATGAAGGCACTAAAACTAAAGAACAAGGCACAGAAAGTAAAGAAAACTATGGAGCCAGCCCTGGTGGCCTAGTGGTTACCAAAGTTCGGCACACTCCACTTCGGTGGCCCAGGCCCAGTTCCTGGGTACAGAACCACACTGCTTATCTGTCAGTAGCCAAGCTGTGGCGGCAGCTCACACAGAAGAACCAGAAGAACTTACAACTATACACAACTATGTCCTGGGGCTTTGAGGAGGAAAAAGAAGGAAAAACAAAGGAGGAAGATTGGCAACAGATGTTAGCTTAGGGAGAATCTTCCCCTGCAAAAAAGACAACACAACAACAAAGCTACAGAACAATACCTCTAGGACTGGAAAAACAGTACACCTTGATCAAGCGGGGTAGGGCACCTCAATTAGCGGCTGGGCATATATATGAACAAAACAGATAACACGGATACTGCCTTGTGCGAGGTGTCATGTCCCTGATTTACCGATGGGGGGAATTAGCGCCTGGAAGATAACTTGCTAGAGGACACACAGTCAACATTTGGCTCTAGATCCCTAACATTCCAAACCTATAATTCTACTATACCATACTCTATATCACCCATCATTTCACCCATCATACTTTGTACCAACTTACCTCATGATTTTATGGAAATTTGGAAAACAATAAATTATATTTTTAAGCATCTACGTCCCAGGGATGTGCTCAGTTCTGAAACAAGTGTTCTAACGCCATAACTACAATGGAGCCCACAGGACTGTCCTTTCAGTCCTACGGTAAGAGAGTCCCTGAAGCAAAAATCTGAAGTGGCTTTATAGCAAGGATTCTCAGCAATTTTCCAGGTAATTATTTGATATTTTTATGACACTATTTTACTTCTTTTCATCATTTTAGAATTGACTGTACTAAAAATGTTTCTTATAGACATTTTAGTAACACATGTTTAAAGCATACATATATCATTACAAATATTACTACTAACATCTAAATTTTAGTCCGAGCTATCCTCTCTGGGCTCAGTCTTCCTCCATCAGAAAATACTTTCTTTTCAGGACGTAAGTTTATCAAAAGGAAACATCATTATTAAAGACATATAACAAAATTATAAATTAATTCACATTTGTTATGGTTTAAACCACATTACTTAAGCTATTATTCCAGTCTCTTGACCTTTTCACATTACTATTTTCTTTGGTTTTTGTAGTCTAAAGTAGTTACATAACAAGCTTAACCACTGTGCTATTCCCAAGGATGCAAACTGTCAAGTACAAACCCAAAGCATTTGAAATGAAGAAGAAAGGGGGAGAATCCAGACAGGAACACAGATATCTCTCTCAACACTATGTTCGTTCCAAAAGACTAATATCATCAGTATATGTTTATAACTACATATAGCCAAACTAGCTAACCAATTATGTACATGAACGTTATAAGTTACTCAAAGGGTACATACTAAATAGTATCCTATTTTGCAATCCTAATTGTACTGAGACTCAGACACTGAATTCCACATAGCAGATGACAGAGGAACATTAGACAGTTCTGAAGATAAGTAGTGGCTTTCATCATCTGACTCAGCTCGGCACTTTATCCACAAGACAGAGGCAATGAATAACAAGAGGCTATACATAAAAACCAGCAAGGTGAAAGAAGATAAAGATGACTCACGGTAATAGGATAAAATACGTATAAGGTTAATGATCAGTGAGTGTAAGCAGACAAAAATACTACAAAAGTAATGCACAAAAACATATTTTTCATTATATACCTAAAAGACTGTCAGTAAGGAAAAATATTAATAACACTATATTGTTTTCTGTATTATAACACTACAGCCACATGTCACTTAATGATGGGGATACCTTCTGCGAAATGCATTCTTAGGTGATTCTGATGCTGTGTGAACATCACAGAGTGCACTTACACAAACCTAGATGGTGTAGCCTACTGCACACCTAGGCTATATGGTACTAATCTCATGGGACCACCCTCATATATGCGGCCTTCATTGACTGAAACGTCATTATGTGGTGCCTGAGTGTATAGTGATGATATATAAAAGTACTAAGACAAGCTAATAACCAAAAAATATTTTAAACTATATAGGTGACAGGCTGAGAGCATAATTTTTTAAAAATTAGAAGCTTAAAATGGTCAACAAAAATGACAGATTTACAACCTCCTTCCTCAGAAAAGCAAAATGAAACACTTTTGTTCTTATCCAAATTGCATATTATTTGGGACTGTAAAGTTTGTTTCTTTTTTTGTCTTGGTTATGAATCTATGCTATTAATCACTCTAGAAATATAAATTGCAGTTTGGCTAAAAAAGAAAAAAACTATGAGCTCTTCAAAGAAAAGATTCTGTTTAAATACAATTATTACTGATGATTAATAATTTCATAGTTTAAGTACAGTCACTTACTGTGATGACTCACAGCCTACTTTGTTTTATGGAAAATATGGAAGTATTCTACACATTTTATCTAGTCACACTAACAACTAGCAAAGTCTTGAGTACAAGGATAACCAGCCTACTCAGAGACAACATATAGGATAATGTGAATTAATGTAAAAGTGTTTTGGAGTGATAATCAAAAACTGTTCTTTTCAGATTTTATAGATTAAGGAGCCCATGGCAAACTAAGTAATGAGAAAGGGGACATTTTACATGAAAGCTGTATGTCAATGCAGGACAGTCTACTTCAAATAAGTTATTTTATTGGGTTACTGAGACTCCGCACAGGATCCAAGTCTCTGACTGTTACTTGGAGGCACGGTTACTCGGCTGATAAACACTATAAGCACGTGAGGAGCTGCCTTTAACATGGAGGTCCATCCAAACCCAGAGCAGCTGCTGCCTCAGGAGACAGACACGTTTAATTCGATTTCGGAGTTTGGATCAATCACACAGAAGCTTCTTACGTGGGTTATAGTTCTTCTTTCTCTTTCCTGGTCATTGTCTCTTAATCGTGTCACTGCTGTTTAACAATTCTATCACTTCAGAGACAGGATAATAACAGGGAAGCAGACCTCAAATTTATTGGTGGCGGTTGAAATTAACTTTAGAATCCAGCTTGCTCTAACCAACGGAGGAGAAGGCTATTCTGAATCATTTAAAAAGCAGTATTATTACATTTTAGGCACAGTCACTGTAAACATTTGCCAGATGGTAGACCTACTTTTACATGATGCTCTTCGTATTCTGATATGGCTTATTTTTTTAGTAGAAATAGAGAAGTCTCGTGAAATACTGCTTATATTACCCGTTTGCTTAGCTAACTCTTCAGAAATAGGTAAATTTTAGACCAGCCTTCATCAAAAACAGAAAAAAGAAAAAAATTAATAAGAGTTCAAGTATTTGGAACTCAATTACAGTCACGTGTCACTTAACAACAGGGATATGTTCTGAAAAGTGGGTCGTTAGGCAATTTCATTGTCGTGCGAACATCAAAGAGTGCACTTACACAAACCTAGATGGTATAGCCTACTATATACCTGGGCTATATGGTACTAACTTTACGGGACCACGTTCGTATATGCAGTACGCCGTTGACCAAAACATCGTTATGCAGCGCATGAATATATTATAATCTATCCTACTTAGTTTTCACTAAAATTCAAAGACAAAATGGCTACTAAATGCTTTCATGTGATCAATTTCTGATAAAAAGATTGTCATGAATCAATGCATTATGTCCCTCTTACCAATATGAGCTCTGTCGGATATGATAAGCCTTTTTTCCCAGCCTTCTAGACCTAAAGGAAAGGGGGAAAAGATACATTTAATTGAACATTTTGTATAACAATTTTTAAATATTAAAGTTCTTTAGAAATACAACGTTTAAAAGTGTTTTTCACTGAATTAATCGCTTTTGTACCTTTTCTTCTGCATAGGAAACATTTAACAACAATTTTTCTCACCTGTCATTCATTATATATAGAAACTCATTCACAAATTCTACCTTTCTAAATGTTTTGCTTTTAAAAAGCTCCCAACTCAAGCCAGCCATATCCACATAAAATATTTCTATGAATCCAAAAAGCAAATGGTAGGAAAATATTATTTTTGTTGGAGGCAGGGGGAGGGGGAGTTAGGTGCAGAGCAGGGGGAATTTTAAGGAAAGGTAGTTAATTTTGGCAATGGCACCCTTTCCCAAAAGACAGTTCTAACAAGTGTTATTAAGCAAGATAATAACATGTCCTCACTATTCCTCCACAGTACTATCCATTACTGTACTTATCACACAGAACAGTAACAAGATATATATGTATCTCCCCACCTAACTGAATACCTGAGAGCAGGGGCCGTGAGTTTTCATAGCCTGGGGCCTGTCATCCAATAAATGTTCAAAAAAATGATTGCTGAATGAATAGATAAATGAATCTAAATAGATATTTTCCTTTAAAGACAGTACTTTAGTAGGCTATATGCATTCTAAAGATAAGCTGCCAAGCTCCAAACATTTTCAAAACTAATCTTTGTATATTAAAAATTAGTTGTTATTTTTGATAATATCCCAAGATTTGTTTTGAAAATTATTCCTTATAGATTAAAGAGGAGAACCTCCTCGGTAATATGCTAAAAGATAAACTGGAGTATTAAGCCTCCCCCTCTATAGCTGTTTTTGACATGTAAATATGTACTCTAAAGTTAGTTTAAGGAATATTATAAAGAAAATATTACAAAGAAACTCAGGAAAGTGGATTCAGCTGGGTTACACAGGTGAAGGAAAAAGAGTAGGGCAAAATTTTTAAAGGGATGAAGGAGAAGAGAGCAGCATGGGAACCTCAAATTGATAATTTAAGAAGCAGACACCAACACCAACGATAGGTGAAAACACGGGGAAGACAAGAGAGGGGGCAGCAAGACAGTATTCTGTGAGGTCAGATTTAGTTGTTAGGAACCCTTGAGGACAGATTGCTATGTTTTAAACCTGAACAATAAACTTTAACAACATAATAGAATTGAGTATTTTAAATACGAGCTAAGTTAAGGAGAAATCACACTAATGATTTTCCTCAATTGTGTATTATGTGCATTGCCAAATTCCCCTCAAACCCTAGCAGGGCAGCCAAGTTGAATGTAAACAGACTTCCAAAAATCCAGAAGAGATTAGGAAAGGCCGGAAATCAAGGCTTTTTTATTTTATTTTTTTTAAGGAGATGGAAGTGGACACATTGCATAGAAGGAGCACCCTCATTTGGAGGGTGGGACCTAAACAACTCTCTTTATCCTTGGGTTGTAGCAACCAAGGGAGCTCCAGATCCTCCAGAAAACAAGACTGACAGCGTGCAGAATGGGTTTCGTCAGCTTCCTGACTGCCTGCCCTAAGCTAATTTTTGGTTTGGGCAGAAGAGGATTCTAACTTGAGCACAAATGACAAAATGAACTCACAAATTTCCTCAAGTTTTGTCACCAACACATAGTAATTCTAGTACCTAAAGATAAAGTTTGCAGATGACCAATGTGTAAAAAATCAGGACTTACACAATGACCCTATTATTTTTGTCTTTTGTTTACAATACTGATTATAATGAATAAAATGTAATAACTAATGTTAAAAAATTTGTCCTACAATGATCTTCAATTTTGAAGTATAAGACAAAAATGTTAAGTTTGTCCAGCATGAGATCCCAATAAAACTTTACAAAAAAAGAACTGATTATCAGGCAAAGCAGACTTGTTCTTTCATACCTTTTCCTTTTTGAACATTTTTCTCTGCTTCCTCAAACAATCCAGGCAAATGAATTACCACACCATTTCCTAAAGGAAAACAAACAAATCCCAACCTTAAACATCTATACTTATAATACAGACATACATAACGATATTAAAATATAGACATCTACAATAACCCTTTATCTAGAATAGTAGAAGAGTGAGGGACTTTGATTAATAGAATATTCTGATTTATCAGGGAGTTACCACAGAAATGATTCCAAGTTTTAAACAGCAGTATAATGTAAATACATAACAGAACACAATAGGAGCCGGCCCCCTAGCATAGTGGTTAAGTTCTGCATGTCCCACTTTGGCAGCCCAGATTCACGGGTTCGGATCCCAGGCAAGGACCTACACCACCTGTCAGCCATGCTGTGGTGGCGACCCACATATAAAAAATAGAGGAGGAATGGCACAGATGTTAGTGCAAGGGCTAACCTTCCTCAAGCAAAAAAAAAAGAAAAAGGAGAGTGGCAACAGATGTTAGCTCAGGGCTAATCTTCCACAGCAAAAGGAAAAAAAAAGAACATACTAAAATTACACTCAATATAATTTGAAATTTCTTTGAAACAAAGTCAAACTATTGTTTTGAAAGAAACTAGTTATGTAGTTTTAAGCAAACTGAACCCAGGTCACAGTAGACTCTAGATCAATGTCTTTCAAGTTGGGGACTCACATCCTATCAGTGGTCATAAAATCAATTTTGTGGGTTGTGATTAGCATTTTTAAAAATAAAAAACTAGAATAGCAAATATCAGATTGCATCATATGTTATACGGGTTCAGAATCAACCACGGAACACAGACCTCTGGTATTTCCTACTGTGTGTCATAGTGTTGGGAAAACTGATTTGATGATCTAATACCTCTTTATAGAGTTAAGATTGCCAGTGATCACAGATAAATGCAAAGTCATCATTCCAAAAAGTATTAGTGCTAAGAGATCTAAAAGTCGTAAAATAGCCAAAGTTAGGTATATTCCAGAAGGTACCAAGGTCAAAATTAATAAGGGATCAATGAATCATTTGATTAGTGAGATGTAGTCAGTTTAGATAATGAAAAATGAACACTATTATCAATTAGGCGAAAATCCCCAAGCAATTCAGTTTATATACTTACCAATGAATGCAGTAACATTTGGATTAATTATTCCACTGGGTAAAAGATGAAAATCGTATTCCACAGAATCTACGACAACTGTATGGCCGGCATTATTTCCTCCCTGAAATATAAGATGGGGAAATTGACCCTGACAATAAATAGGACAAGTAACATATCTCCTTCCAAAGTGAGATTAATGCTAAAATGTCAACTTAAGGAAACGCAAGTATTAGTCACAAATTCTTATTCTTTAGAGGCGTTACAACAGTCTGGTTACCCTTTCTCCTTCCACCACTACAATACACTTGAGTGGCTACTCCTGACGGGATGTGGAAACTGGAGAATCCAGGTTCCTGGAAGCTAGAAAGACATATGCCTTCTTAAAAGAGAAAAAAAAGTCCAGGGAACAATTAGTTTGTTATTCTGTTTCTGGCACCATGTAGGACACGCAGCAATCTAATTATCCGTGATATTTTATATAAACAAAAAACATCCCTAAGATGGAAAAGAGTAATCTATCCAGTTACCCTAACTTGATGTAAGTATTCATAACATTTCCATCGTCTTAAAGGTGTGTCAAGCAACTTTGTGACCTGAAGTTTGTATTCTCACACGGACTTAGCAACTAGGAAATTGCCCAAGTTGTTCCCTCAACTACTGGTTATCCTGAGACTCGAATTTTTAAACTTATGAATCAGTCCTGTGGGTTTGGTTAGTGACAGGGCCTCTGAATCTGCTCATGTCTGGATAAAGTAATACACTGGGTCAAGGGAATCACCCTATTCTCCTATGGTGAAACTTCCACTCTATGAAACTCATGCCTAAATGGTCAATCAAAAGTAAAATGTTAAGTCAAATTATAAAAATTAGGTACAAAGGAGACTGAATATTAAGTGACCAGATAATTTTCCTAATTTCTAAGTTTAAAAAGCATGAGAGAAAACAAATCAATTGACTATAAGTTTAAACTTCTACACAATATTTAACAAAAATTTTAAAGTAAACAAACTAGGAATATATTTGCAACGAACAAAAAGTTTAACAATATCCTCGTGGGACATTAAAAAAATACCAATCAAAACTGTATCTCCTGAAAATGACTAGTTTAACTAGATCACAAGGCTACTTTTGACAAAATGAATATTACTTACTTTTTAACAAATCATCACCAATCGTGAATTCACAAAAATGTCAGAAAAAAAGTCCTGCAAAAAAAAAATCTTCAAAAAAGCAAATGTCTACTTACACTGTGTTTTGCACTGGATAAAGCAAAGAATTCCTTGCTTGAAGACTAGTTTATGGCATGTATGTTAAAAAAAAAAAAAGACGACAGTGGTGGCCTATGGTCTACAAGACGACAGGTGGGTGGCCAAACACAGGAAGACAGAAGCAGGATTAAGCAATATCTCCTTCTCTTGATACCACCAAGGGAACATTTTTTACTATTTATTTTTTGGATATTTTTTACTATTTATTTTTTCAATAGGAAACATCTGCATATGATACACAAGGCACAGAAGGATGCACAGTAAAAAGCAAAGTCTTTCTCATACTCCACCCCTGCCTAGTCCCTGCTACAAGGCAACCAGTTACCACCAGTTTTTTTGTGTCCTTCCCGAGGCAATTTTGTATATACACACACACATTTATATAGTTTTATTCCATATGTACCAATGATAGCAAACTACATACACCTGGGCAGCTTGCTTTTTCACTTAACAAATCTTCGAGCTCATTCCATACCCTTGTAAACAGAACCATCTCACTCTTTTAACAGCTGCACTGCCTTCCTTTCCAGACACATAATTTATTAAACTGCTCCCCTAAGAGAGGCATTCCGGTTCTTTCCAATCTTTTGTCATTATAAACAATGTTGCAATACACTTCCTAGTACATACTTTATTATTATTTCACACTTGTGTAAGTTTATCACCAATTCTGCCAGAATCCTAAAACATATATTACATACCAAAAAGAACATACTGATCTTAACTTAGTCTTTCTAAATAACTCACAGGACAATTCTTACTTGGTTTTCATAGTTTTCTTTATTCTATCCCTCCTACCAATAGTAGCCTTTTAATCACAACTTTTTATGATTTAGGAAACCTCCCCTAAACTTTCAGAAAAAAATATTTTCAGAGTATGAAGCTCATTAAAATTTCTTTAAATCCTAGGAAAATGCTAATTTATTATAATTATTTAATTCTAAATTGTTATAAATCACTAAATTCAATAAATTTTTACTAAATTGTGATAAAGTATTGGTAACTTTGAGACAAACAACCAATAAAGCATCATTATTTAAGCAAAACCAGTTTTTTAAAAAATCCATTGTCTCCTAACATAAGAAACAAACTACTCTGTAATTTTCAGAGCAGACTTTTAAAGTAAGTCTCCTAATTTACACAACATTATCTGTATAGATACACTAATATAACCATTTGATGAAACAATTATTAACTAACTGGGTGGTGCACAAGCATGTCTCTGTTGCCTAACAAAAGCCTCCTCTCCTGGATAATGTTTTACCCAGACAGGCAGTCATGATGGCAGTAACCACAATGGGGAGAGTACGGTTGATCTGTCTGTTTGAGGCAGGTGGTTGTGATACATGACTTTAGGGAGATAAACTGTTGATTTCTTTTAAGTTCTTCCAAGTTTACAGGTGGTGGTTCAGGCTGGAAAAGTTCAGCTGCTTAAGGCTTGAAATCACACTTTACTGAACAGCTTGCTAACTCAAACATTAACAGACATTTTTCAATAACCGATGTCTTATTAAGGATTACTATATGGTTTAAATCTCATTTAAATGCTGTTTGACTGAGTGTGAGAATGGTTAAATACACCCAGAAGAACCCCAGATGCTCCTATAAGGAGCTGGGGAGAAAGTATAAGTGCATATTTGGTCACTAGTACCCTCCGGGTGATCTGGGGTATGACAGCTTCTCATCTTGAAACACACTGTGCAGAAAAGACTCCTGAGGTGAACTGAACAGGAGCTACTCACAAGGAGTTTCCTGACAAGGTCACCTATATATGAAGTAAATTTTAGTATCAAGTTATATTTCACAAAATGCAACAGAGGAAGCTTCAAATTCAAAGTGCCTAGCCGGATGCTAACCTAAAATATTTATAAATTGTGTGGAATATACAAAATTCACCTTGAGAGCTCAGGCAATTGTCCTCAAACACTGATGACACTGGTCCAAGGAGAGGTCACATGTATCAGCAGAACAAAGAGGTTTCAGTATGGGCACCGTGGCCAACCACCACTTTACTCTCCCACCCACACACACCCACGAATTACCAGGGCAGATACTCTGAACTGCAGGCTTCCACATTTGTGACAGAACTGCTTGTCACACGGGCACTCTACGTCGTGTGTGCCAGGAAAAGGAGCAAGGACATATTTGTTTAATCACGTTTAATGATTCTCCTAAGTACACTGGGAGGCCAGATGGTACTATATAGATGATGGGAGATAAATATTTTTTTTGTTCTACTTTTAACAGAGACATACTATTCCCTTCTCAATCCAAAATTTCTCCAAACCAAACCTGTTAAATTATCCCCCCAGACACAGTATTAATCATACATTCATATTAATAGTTACATGTAACCACCTCTTGCTGCTTTGCTCAATTTCCATAACACTTGCGATCCTAGTTACTCATGCAGCATTTAACAAGTACTTTTAATTATCATAGTTGTATGTTTTATATTACTTAGCTAAAAAAAATAATCTGTTCAATTAATTGTTACACAAACAAAGAGCTGTGGAATAGCAATTAATGTTGTTTTCCAGATCAATTATAGCAACAGAGAAAATATTTCTTAATGATTCTCAGGTCTTAATTTTTTGAACATTTTAAATTTTGAAATATACCCTCTAAAATCCCAAGAAAGAAAAAAAACAGTGAGAGCCCAAAAGTGGCTGCATGCTATGTGGCAAGTTTCTCTGAGGAAAAACATTAAGTTTATAATGCCTTATATGATATTTTTTCTTATATTAAATACTAAGAGTAAATGCAAATAAATTGTATTAAAGTGAAGAATAAATATACAAAAGAAAATCCAATCAGCTTTCACCACAGTCACAAAACATCCTCTAATTTGGTATTTATTTTACTGATTTTGACTATTATTCTTTATATTAAGATTAAATATAAATATTAAATAAGCTTCTCAATGACCAAGAAAAAACGTATCTCTTGCAATAAACTAGAACATTATGATGAGGGGGAAGCAGAACTAAAATTCTATGTTCTCAAAGTTGAAAAGCACAGTTTCTGATGTATACTTTTAGTTTTTTAAAACCAATACAGAGATAGCTAATTTTCATTGTTTTAATTATAGTTAAAATAATAAAAACCTTTTTGACTTCAAACATTCCTCTTGTAGAAAAGCACTAGAGGTCTACAGTGTGTGAGACTGCTGAAAAACAACTGACAAATAAGAATATTTGTCAAATAAGACAAATAAGAACCAACGTTTCCTCATTCCTTATTTTCCTAGATGAAATGAACTCCAGGTCAGCTATACTTCTCAGATGTTCAGTCCCATCCCCCACTTACTTTGCAAATCGTAGTAATCATCCCCTGTGGCCACAGTAATCATCCAGACAAGGAAACCTGATCCAGCTAAGCCAATTAACCTCCTCTCTCTTGGGAATTTGACTTTGTGCAGAAAGGATGGCAGTGAGGAGTCAGAGCTGCCTGTCGCCTACGGGAGCATCCTGAAGAGAGAGGCTGCCAGTTCTGGCTGCTGAGACCCTGGGAGCTGCCTCTGGCTCTGGCCACTCTGAGTCTTGGCCATCCTGCTCTTCCTTCAAACAAGTACCCATTTTGCTTAAAATAGTCTCTTTCCATTGCTTGCCAACAAAGAATCCCAATGATTCACAAAACAAACTCACTGCACCACACTACGTATAGAGCTGAGTCTCTAAGTCCACATCTCGCACCACTGATAACTGAATACAACAACGATTAACTTCTAAGTTTTAATATTTATGCTGTCAAGAACAAAACTCTGAAACACAATACTCCAGGACACAGGGATGATATAATAGTATTTAGTTATTTTGTAACTGTTCTCAGTTTTTCCATGTATACTTTTTCT